CACAAACATTCAGGATATCCTCAACAACTCTAACTCATTGACATATATCAGACTCCTTTCACAAACTATTACAGCCTCCTCCAGAGAAGATAAACATGGACATTTCGCTCGCAACATTGACAGCTGAGCTAAACAGCAAACTGCCAGCCTTCAACAGACAGGAAAAAACTGCAGACTGGATCCAGTCTGATTATACTCACTAACCAATGCAGAATGGTGACCAGAGTTTTTGAGGTGACTTATGGCTTAAAGGGATAAAACACTACAAAAACTATAACTGTTCATATCCATTTTTTTAATTTCTAGATTTATTATGTTGAGGTGAGACATAATACTAAGTTATCTATCTGTTAACTATATTATCTTAAAATGTAGTTTCTACAAAAATGTATTTGTTACAAAAAGAGTAGTAGAAATATGTTGTGGCTGTTATGGAGTACAGTCATAATGCAATAGTCTTTCCATTAAAATCATCTTTCCCCACCTCCCGCACAGCAGAAACCTTAGCAGAACTTTTAAACAGAACAATCCAAAGTCCTGCTTGCCTTTATCTTCTTTTCACTTTCTCTAACCATGTGACAAAGTGCTGAAATAAAAAGTTTGATCCCCTTTTGGCACACTGTTAGCGAGAGGCTTCCCTGCAGATGAAGAGAGATGATATCATTAGGAACTTATCAGCAGCATGAATGCTGCTCACAGGTACAGCGGTAATGTGACATGAACACCACACTTTGGTGTCACCAGGAACCAGCCGGGTGAATCATTGTTCAGTCAAACAAGTGAGCAGCCTGTTAATGACACTGCCATGACATTTAACACATAATAAGGTGTTTCATCCTGATCTCCTTAGGAAATGATTTGCAGGTGGAACGAACCTGAAGACCTTTTACTCCTACAACATGATGAAGGCAAAGACTGTCTGAATATCTTGTTCTTGCTGCTCTTTTTCTTCCCTCATTTTCTCTGTCGCTTTACCCCACCATCCCCCCGCCGCATCTCTTAGCTCTCAACCTGGTTGTTCTCTTATCTCTCCATGTCCCGAACGAATCGATGAGGCGCTTGTTAGCCCAAGGATGTTCATCGGTGAGTGCTTGCAGGGAGAGAAAAAAACGGTGGATGGGACAAACACAGCTTCACTGTGCACTCAGAAAAACATTTAAATACACTCAGCAGCCCTGCATGAACAAACAACTCAAGAAGTTGTAGATCTAAAACCTCAAATGGGTCCTTCAAATGTCAAAATAGATTTGATCATTAGCAATGCAATATGTTTACACTAGTGTTAAGATACCCAAGCCAGATTTAATATTTAGGTTTTAAAAATCTTTTAGTTCACATCTCTAGACTATCTTCATACTACTGTATTTATAATTTAAGGCATCTATACTACTATTAGTACTATTAGAGCATTTTAAAACCCCTTTTCCATATTGATGCATAATCCTCCATCTATCACATCTAGCATTACCCCAGATCTGCTTTGCAGTAGGGCTGCCACGATTAGTCGACTAGTCACGATTACGTCCACTATCAAAATCATCGACGGCTGATTTAATAGTCGACGTGTCGTTTGAAGCTTTGTAAGATCACAAAAGACGCAGGAATAAGTAGTAGGATTTAAGAGTGTAATAACGGACTGAAACAGAAGATGGCAGCACTGCATGTACAAGGATGCCAGCTGCCGTTAAACCCCGAAGAAGAAGAAAGCTGTGTCCCAGAATTCATAGCGCGGCCCAGCTCAGTTTCCAACAATGGCGGCAGCTAGTTAGTTTTAATATTACTCTTATCATTCTTTCTGGGTCACAAAATAAACGTTTAACATATTTTCAGGCGAGAATGTAGCTGTGTAAACCTCAAATATCGGCTCAGTTTATCAAGGACACCACATATTTTCAAAAGCGCTCCGACGTTTTCGGAGACGTCTGTTACCCACTAGCTCGATAGCTAGCCGGGGGCAGGTCACTAGGCCGTGAGAACACCGGACTCCCGGCAAATTGTTTTCAAACCCACCGCCGTCTTTCGCTACTCAGGTTAAACATGATATATAAGTCACTTAGATAACTTAAAAATGTTATTGTTTGGCTTTTAGTATTTTATTTGTTCCTGAGTAAATCGGTTTGGCTGAGATTAAAGTTATAGTTTTTACACAGCTGAATAAACGTCAAGCAGACAGCTGATCATCAGAAGTGTGAGATGCTCGAGAATTTACTCCGGTGTCCTGTTATATTTTAGATAGCAAGGAGTTTATTAAACTTCACCGAAACAATCTGCAAATTTCATTAAAATTTAATAAACTATCATCTTGTCTTTATTTTTAGTTAGCACATACCTTAAACACTTAAAGCTGTAAGTTAATGATAGTTATATAAGAGCAGATGCTGCTGGTGCAATAAGCTGTACGCTGTACGTCCAATGGATGATGATCTGATTAGTCGACTAATCGCAAAAATAATCGGTGACTAGTCGACTACCAGAATAATCGTTTGTGGCAGCCCTACTTTGCAGTGAGTCGAAATTTTTGTTTTCCGCCACCTTGTTCCACCTTCTCGTTAATCCAAAAGAAAGAAATCTCTGTAGTGTTTTCTAAGGATATATTTGGTCGCAGCTGTTATCATCAGTGATATGCTCTAATACTGATGTTTTGTAGTAGTAGCACATGGAGAAACGATAGAGTCAGTGAATCAATTTTTGAGAAACATAAACTTTTTGTCTTACAGAAGGTTGAGCCTAGATATAATATTAAATGTTTGGCAGAAATGTGGCCCACATCCACATCTGTGGATCTCTTAGAGTCTCATTCTTCATTTCCACACCTCCATCTTATATAGCTCTCATCCACATGTGGCGTAACCCAAGTTCTGAAAATCTTGGGTCACATTTGGTCAAACTAACTGAGCCTGGGCTCAGATTGTTCCCAAATGTGTATGTGTTATCTTTTATAATATGTGGCATGCTAATAGAAAACCATGCATAAGTCACTGTTTGCTAATGTGCTTCGTATAAGTTTGAACTTCCTGCTAAAAGAAAAGAAAACCAGGTGGTCACTCTCAGTGATGAAGCAGTTTCGTCTCATCCATTAAAAACTTATTTCACTCACTCGCCATTTCACACGAGTGGAGATGACTTGCAGGCTTTGATACAGAGTAAACATCTCTCCCATCGGGCGGGCATTCGGACCATAAATAGTTGAGGGGAACGAAGTGTAACTGCTTTCGTAATCATTTGTTATTTCAACACAATTTCCACTGAATAATTGTTCCATCTGGGTGGATAAGCACATTTAACAAACTTTCTGCGAGTACAGAACCGATGTGGCGGTGATCAAGAGCAGACATGGATACAAACACATCCTGAGATACTTAGCTGCGCTGCTTCTGGTGTCATTACTTTCTTAACAGAATAAAAAAAAACAATGTAGGGAAACATATTTATGCAATTGATACGCTCTTTCAGTTTCAATAGATTGTGTTTGCCAAGCAGTGCATTCATTTTTCATTAGTGCTTCTCTCTTGTCATATAATTTATACAGTGGTTTCCCATATCTTGTGTGCTATCCAGTGAAAAACACTTTTGAAGAGTGAAATCTGTTTATAAAGTATGCGTGTCTGTGTAGGAGTCCCTGGGTCTTTGATATCATTCAATCACCACTGAGTAAGTGGGATGTACATGAAAAGGAGGGCTTTTCCCCTCATCTTTTAAGCCTGTCCAAATCTGACATTTTTGGGCATTTACAGAGGCAAAGAACAGCTGGTGGCCTTGTGCATCTTACTGATGCTCATCTTCCTGTATATGAATCCTTTTGAACACAGTCGCTCCCAATATGCTTCTTTTGATGCTCGCCTTTGTTTGGTGACTTCACATCTTTGTGGAGAATAAAGAAGATTACACGGAGATGGAAGTGATTTAAGATCAGTCCTACGGTTAGGTGAATACAGATTTCAGGAGATACACAAGGAAAAAAAAACATGTACAGCGTTTGTGAGCTGCTTTTAGCTTAGTTAATTTAAAGGACAAAAAGTGAGCTACTGTGTTCCCTTTTTGTCTAACTTTTTTTGGAGATAAACTAAGGGATTTGCAGGGATTTCTTCCAATTCAACCTATACTCAGTAGGGATGGGCATTTCAATCAACAACACTGTTTAATATTCACTGTTAAGCATTTGAGTTTTAAGCAAAAGTATAATATTTCTATAGTTTAGTTAAAATCCTCGGGGTGTATTTCCTTGTTTGTCGACACGTCTTTGACAGATCTGAAAATCTACCTCCAGTTAATTGTGTAAAAACAAGAGAAAGACATACAGTTGTCGGGTAAAGTTCACACTCATCATGGGTATGAATGTCATGGTAACTTGGGGTTTTTAATAAAGTCTTTTTCCAGGGTGGATGATGGCACAGCTAGGGATGGGTATCGAAAACCGGTTCTTGTTGAGAACCGGTTCCCACTGTTTCAACTCCTTGGAATTGTTTGCCATTTTTGCAAACGATTCCCTTATCGATTCCAGTCGCCCCGAATGACGTCACCACGTTGCGGAGCGTCATTTACCTGGCAGGAAACACGGCGCCTAAGCGGCTCAAACGCTCAAAAGTTTGATTATACTTTATGAGAACCGATGACAACAGGGCAACTTGCAAAGTAGATATTTCATTTAAGGGAGGAAACACTACGAATATGCAAAAGCATTTGCTCACAAAACACGCGATGACACGCGTTTTTAATTCCGCTCCGGACTCGTGACTCTCAACCCAGCAGCAGCGCTAACGTTTGCACGTCCTCTCCCGTTAATGCGGCAGGTAAATAATCAACTAACAGTGCATATTATGTTAGCGCAATCTGCCTTATTACAAGACCTGCCATTACTGTACATGTAGGTGACCATGATGAGAGAGACAGAGTCTGGCTGGCGCTCGCTGGCAGTTCTCGCTGCAGTCTACCGGTAGCGTCTCCTTTCAGGCCAGGATAGACGAATGTCACCGAGCAGTGTCTAAGTTTGTGGTCAAAGGCTTGCACCCATTTGCCACAGCAGATGCCCCCGATTTTTGGTAAGTGAATGTGTTTAATTGTAGGCAGGGACATTACTGGATATTCTTGTGTAATTGCCACAGAACAATTTATGTTATACTTTGTTATTGCTACAGAAGAATGTTGCAGCTTTAAGGCAGGGATGACTCCTGGAGTTGCTTTCTCACTGCATATGCTTTATTTCACAATCAGATCGATTCGATAACAAAAACATACAGCAGCTCCTCTCCTACTCCTAGCCCTTCGCTGCGGTGGAAAAAAGAACGACTTCAATCCCCTTCAAGGAACATACGTACAAAATAGTTTTCCTGATACACCAATGGGGCGTTCAATGCCATCTTGTAAATATGAGTACTCTGGCAGAGTAACAGTTCAAATGAAAAATACACCAGAACAAACAAGCAAACAAAAAAAGAAGTGTGGGGTACCTTTGAACCAATGAACAAAGTATAACAATTTATACTTTTTAACATAACCCTGACCCCGTCAATATGTGATATGTCTCACAAGAATATTTATTTTATTATTTTACATTTACAATTTTTTTTTCCTGGGGACCCTGTGACACCCCATTGAAGAGCCGTAGGCTGGATCTCTCAAGATCTCACTGTTGGGTTTGTAAGGCCATGTTACTCCTAAATTTCTATCTTGTTCAAAGAGAAGATATAAAACAAAGCTCTGAGCTAATCGACCTTAGTGTTCTCCTTTTTAAAAAAAAAAAAAAAAGAATCGATAAAGAATCGAATCGTTAAACAGAATCGAAAATGGAATCGGAATCGTTAAAATCTTATCAATACCCATCCCTAGGCACAGCACGCATCTAGAATGACATTAAAAAACAAGAATTGGGTAGATGAATTTTCTCTATTCTATACAGGGTCAAAGGTATACAAAGGTTCAAACATATGCATAAACCTCCATTAATATTTGGTTAAATGTCCCCTAGCAAGTTGTACCTCAGACAGATACTTTTGGTAGACATCAAAAGTGCCGTATTTGACCACTCTTCTGAGCAGAACTGGAAGAGTAAGAAGTAGAAATAGAAAAGTCTGTGTCTGTGTTCAAATTCAAGAAGTAGCAGTAAAAATTTGCCAAAAAAAATAAATCAGAAAATACTCAACAAAGGTGCAGATAGCTGAAAATTCTACTTAAGTACAGTAAGTATATGCACTTCATTGCTTTCCATGTCTGCCAAGAACCAATTGACGTGGAAGTCAACTCAAAGGGGGAAAACTCAAAGGATATTTGAAAATTGGATGAAAATTCAATGAGATACAATGTTTTTAAGGGAAGATTGTTAGGGTCCCTGGGTCGTTGACCCAGTGTTTTGTGTTTTTGGTTCTTTGATTTTGTTATTTCATTATATTCTAGCTTTGCTTTACGGGTTTTAGGATTATTCTTAGTTAAGGTTCTCTGGGTGGGGTTTGGTTAGAGTTTTAGTGTTCTGGTTTTCTGTCTGTGTAATCCTTAGTTGCTGTCTCCCCTGTCTGCCCTGGTCCCACGTCTCTGTTCCCTCTGTTGTAGTGACTGCATGTAAGTCTGTGTCTTTTGTTCAGTCTCTGTTATGTTTCCTGTTTTACTTTGAAAGTCCATGTCTCATGTTAATGTGTCTGGTTTTGCTTCCTTTGTCTCGTTAGGCCTGATTTGCCCCAGCTGTGTTTCCCTCCTGTTACTCATTCCCTGATTGCTCCCTCTGTGTATTTAAGCCCTGTGTTTCTCTGTGTCCCTGTCGCGATCTGCCGTTTATTTTGCTGTGTGTTTTGTCAGTCCGCCGGTGTTAGTTTATTTTGAGTTTTTCAGTTATGTTTGAGTTCAACATTAAAGCTGTTTCGGTTTAAGTTTGTCTCTGGAGTCTGCACCTTGGGTCCTATTCCTGTCTGCACACAGCCGTCACTTAACAAAGATAGTTCCTTCCTCGACAAACATTACTCCTAAAATGACTGGTGTCAGCGAAGCACATGATTCAAGCTAAGGAGTTTGTTCCATTGCTAAATATGGTTTCTACACTTTAGTAGTAGAACTAAAGCGCTATGTTAGCACTTCATTCATTTTGCAAATTAGACAGAGATACTTTATTGATCCCACAACCAAAATTTTTGAAAATCAAAACAGCAGGCAGTGGTCCAAATCAGTGGAAAATTTTGTTTTATGCCATGGGATTCAAATTGGTGAGGAAATGCGTACCACATCTAAGCCAAACATTTGTTGCTACCTGGGAAGGAACTGCTCCATCCTTCTTGTTAGCTCTGAGTTACCATGAAGTCATATTTTGTTGGGGATCTCACCCCACCTGTAGCCACGCTCAGCTCCAGTGAATTTCTTGCCCGGGCCTGCAGCCAGTATCACGGCATCCTCAAATCAGCATCGTCTTGGCATAGGAGTGACAGCAAACCTCTCGCCTCTGAGGTTTGCATACAGAAGAAGGGCTTATCCTCTTAACAAATAAACCTGGAACCTAAAATCAGAGGAACACAGGAGGGATCATTGCTGCACTGCACGGCTCTCCCCCCCTCCCTTCCTCTCCCTCTCCGTCAGAGAGGGATTATCCTTTTCACTTAGTGCGAACGCCGCTAATTTCTCCTGCCAGGTTCAACTCCCAGAATGCACCAGGGAGACTGGCTGTCTATGCTTCTTTTCTTCCTTTCTCTTCTCTCCTCGTTGCCATCTCTCTGTCTTTTACTCCTTCTATCCACACCTGGCTCCATGACTTGTTTTATCTCTCTGCTGGTGGGAACACAAACCCCAGTGTTTCTTTCACCTCATCCTCTTCTTTGATGGTGTTTTACAAATTCACTTGGCAGACTACGGCACCGTATTCCTGGGACTCAAGGCTTCACGCATGTGCCTAAAAACAAGATTAAAGGTGCATACTTCTCATAAAACAGGTGTTGTCAGCATCTAACAGGTTGAATTTTCTTTTCTTTTTTCCTTTTTTTCACATGATGCAACAGCAGGGTTTTGTATTCAGTATCGATGTGACTGAGCCGAGGCTTTTGTTCACAGAAGCGTTCACTCATTTTACTTCTCTAAAGGTAAGGAGGTGACAGGTTAAATGAAAGTAATCTATGTTTTAAAGCTGCATTAGCCAAGAAAGTATACCTTTCCCTGAACATACTTACTAAAAAAAATATATATAATAATCACATTTTAACTAAATAAAATATCTGGAGACTAAGTCCCCATATGCAGCTCACAACATTTACTACTGTAAAACACGTTTGGTTTAGGCAAGGGTGCAGCAAGGGTCCACAGTTAGTTACACTATCCTCAGATGGGCCCACCTGCCTACTCAGGTAACAAGAATGCCCTGTATGTGTTGTTTCTGAGCACACAGTTCTTTGGACAAAAGACAAGGACTTACAGTAATGTCCAACTACTGGACAGATCTGATTTAAAGCTATTCAGGTGTATAGTGAGGTATCCTCAAGCCCCAGGAGTCTGGATTGCCAATGAGGTACCAGATGGGCCTCTACAGCCTGTGTGCCTGGGGCTTTGGTTTGTTTCTAACATCCAGACTGTGTTGTGGTCTCACCTGGACAACGCACCTGGAGTTAATTCTTGGCAAACAACGGAGGGTATTTATGGCCAGCTTCCCTTTCACCTCACCGCCAGTTCGTCAACCCACCTAAGCTGGTAACAGGCTCAAACTCCAGCTCAAGATCCAAGTTCTTGTATGCTTACCTTGTTTTCCTTGCTCCTAGCTCCACCAGTCCACTACACCATGACACCACTACTAAGAGTCACCTTTTGGACTCTGGTTACAAACCCCCAAAAGATTTTCAGCTGCATTCCAGGGAGTATTACCTAGCACACTAACCTGCCTGCCCTCCTGCCATCACCACCCACGCAGAGTTCTGGAAATCTCAGGTCAGACCTTCTTAACACTCCTCTGCCAGTCACTCGGACCTCTGCCTCCCCCTCCAAGCCTCAGTGTCCTCCTGCCCAAGTGAGCCACTCCATCTCAGTATCCACTAGAATCTCTGGCCCAACCCATTCACCCATTAACACCTGTTCTCTCTCTCTCTGCACGCCGCGAGCACCATGCCACCAGTCACCGCTTATGTAATGTACCTCGGGCTGCCACGCTAGAATTCTCTACCTTGTATTGTATTGTGTATCAAGTCAAGTTTCTAGGTTTTGTATTATATTGTGTGTCATGTAACGCCAAGGTTCTAGGTTTGGTTCTCCTTGTCTGCTCTGTGTAAATAAAAGCTTCTTAGTTCAACTGTTCTGCCTCCGCACTTCATCCTGCACTCGAGTCCAGTTCTGGTACAGGCCTCTGGCCCCCAGTCTAAATCATACATGTTCGTTAAATATTGGTAGAACATCTCAGAGGTAGCAGTTTCCAAGTCTCAGATTACGTTTTAGAGCCTGGTAGTTTTAGGACTGGTCCTACACTGCTATCCCACACTCCAATCACTAACCAGGTGAGCATCCAAGACTGTAGCATGGCACAGCTGCTAATGGTTAACTCTTTCCTGACCCATCTGCCTATGCTGTCTCTGTGTTGGGTGTCAGATGATGGGCAGCATCTGATCTATAGTTTCCATCCTTCTGATGTGATTTAATCTGCTGGTTTACAAAAATATACACACAATTTTATAGTTATTCTACATTTTCCTAAATATGAATCCTAAAGAACAGTAAATGTGCAACATTTGTGATTACACACACTTTATAATTGCAAATCAAACTGACCCATTTACCTCAGATACCCTTCTATATCTCGTTCAGGATTGCGTGCACTGATCTTTCCAGACAGTAGAAACAAATGACTAATACACGTGTTTTGTTTAAATATATCCAACTGTTGACATGTAGTACTACTCCTCAGGTCCACCAGTCTGCAGATCGAAGCATCCTTGGGTAAGATACCGAACCGGAAGTTGCCCTTGAAGCATCCATCAAAGTGTGAATGTACAGTGCCAGTCCATTTAAATACACACTTTTCCAATCAGTCTAATGGACATCATTTAAGAGATCATACTAGATGGCTTGTACTGCATGCATTCACCTAGCAAGTTGGTCTAGCCAAACAGATTGAGAAACTCTGCACTAACACCTCTAAAGCAATCAAATTAACAGATTACATGATGTTAATTTAACTTTTAAAAGGTGTTAAAACTACAGGTTCTGATTAACCTGGATCATGGTGACTAGCTCTGTCTTCTCCAGTCTTTCTGTCAAGTTAAACTGCTGGTTGTGAGATTAAATGTCATTTTTTCCTAATTTAGCCCACGTAACATTTTAATTATTGTAATTTTTTCTGTAATTATTGCTGTAAGTAAATTTTCACTTTAACCCTCCAGAGTAATTCAAACAGCAGAGATTATATCTGACCAAACCAAATATCCCATCAACCTGAAGGCACTGTGGGGAAATTACATTACTGCTTTGGAAACCAGGGACACGCCATCCATCTTACCCCAACCATATGCAAGTCTCCCAGTTGGTATGTATATGAGTGGGCTGATTTGGTCTTCTCACACATACAGGCTCTGCCATATATAGTTAATCATAAAAAAAAACCCAGTGTGCATGCTCACAGTATCAGGTTTATGCCTTTTCGTCACCTGTATTTGTATCCTCTGTGTGTTTACTCAGCACATCATGTTAGTCTCTCACCTCTGGCTAATTCTCACACCCTGCTGATGAATTCCATAGCGGTGCACGCCGGGTTGTAAATCGCATAAGCCAGAGAATAAATACAGGCAGTTTCATGGTTTTCATGCTCGCTCAGCAAGTTTTATTTGAAAGCAAAAGCCATGGTGAACACATGCATGAAAAATAGATTTGAAAACCCTCACAGAGCACGTGGTAGTCTTTTGTGCTGTTACTTGACCTGGAATTTTAGATTTTGTCTGCCATCAAAGTGGGAAAAGATGTTGTTGCTTTACCACCCAATCACATTTGACCTAAAAGATATGATTTGATGAAAGTTAATTCCTCATGGGCATCCAGCCAGAATGCAAAGAAAACAGCCGTCAGTGATTTTGCAGTGGGTTAATTTTCCTTTAAATCATCAACAGTAGCTTAACTTAACAAAGGAAGACTCACATGGGCTGCTAAACTGTGAAAGAGAAAACAGGGTTGTCTTTAAGTCATTAACTTAGAAGGGTAAAAAGTTGTTTTTTTTTAAAAATCAGAAGAATAAAGGAAACTCACCTTAGCTGCAGTTCTTATATAATGTGCTCCAGGTGAGTTCAGTTAAGGGACAAAGAAACCCAGGAAACCAATCAGCGATGAGAAAACCTTGAAACAAATTGAGGTAAAGATGGCGAGCTGTGGGAGAGCGAGTAAAGGGTTAATAAAAGTAAGAATTTTTACTATATTAAACTTAAAAAATTAAAAGAAAATAAAGAAAGTTGGAGCGATGTAATCTACTTTTCTATTTTAATCTAGAAGTTTCAAAATTTAGGAAAACAAAAGATAATAATAAAAACGTTGGCCAACATCTGTATAGGATTAGGGTTATATCGCCCACCTGTTGTTTGGATATGCTCTTGACATTTTTTATTTTTTTCTTAGTTTTCATGGAGACAAATTAATGTGAACAAAAAACTATCCCTGCTTTATAAAATACACGTGTAACCTAATAGGATTTATCCTAATCTTTGCCACCAATTGGATATAAAACTTCAACTATACGTCAAAAAATTTTCTTTTGGTAAATAAGTCTGTGGTCCATGAATAAAAATGAAGTGACTGTTTGAAAAAAGTTAATCTGCTCATATAGCAAAAGTCATACATATCATCTTTTTATCAATAATGATATGCAATAACTAACAACATGCAGATTTAATGCAGACTCTCCTTTATGAGTTTGCAAATTTATGAAAGGAAAAACACAAAAAGAAAGGAGTTTATTGCATTACAAGAACTAACCTTTAAATGTCAGATGAAATAAGACCTCACTGTAACAACAGACACTACTGATGTAAACAAATACAGTCCAGTAAATTTAATCCAAGACAAGCAGGAAAATGATTACTTTTAAACTTTAGGGGTAACAGAAAGTATGCACATTTTCACATGTGTATCAGCTTTCCAGAAAGGACCAGATATTGGCAGCAAAAAAAAAAGTTAACTAACTTTCCTGTGGCTAAGCGTTGTTGCTTTTGCCATTGTTAGCTGCTGTTAGCCTCCGCTAGCTGTTAGCTGGCATTAGTCAAACCTTCTTTGAAGTGGACATAACATTATCACTCATACTGTAAGCAAATAAACTGGTATACAATCAGAGAATGTAATCAAATTTTTTACCAGAGGGAAAGTGTGATTTATTTATTTTTTTCGGACAGCTAACATTAGCTTGCCTAATGCTAACTGTCAGCTGTCAGGAGGCCATGTCTAATCAACTAAAAATAAGTAATAACTCTTGTATGTATTGTTAATTGTTTACTTACAAGTTCATGAGAGTGTATCAATGTGTTGAAAAATATAATTACATACTATTCTCTGTATATTTATAAGTACCGTATAATTTCTTCTGTTGAATAATGTAAAAAAAAAATTGACTGCAGTTTTAAAGAGTGTTCCTGTTTGAGAAATAAAATTATCTGCAATTATGTGACTCTAATTAACTGATGTAAGGTTTATTCCTGAGTCAAAATGGTCCTTTGTGGCTTACTATGCACTGCATGGACTAAAGGCTTTAAGTCTTTGTTACTTAACAGATGTCTATGGGTGTTTATTTTAACCTTACCTTATTGTTATTTGATGAAGAAATTTTATTTTAGATCTGAGTGAATTTAATTACATTAAAGCTAAAATTGGTTTAAAAATATTTTGATGAAGGTAGTAGTTGTTTGGAAGAAACTCCTTGTTTTTATATCATAGGTTTTATAATTAACCCATGAAAAGTCCACATAAACATTTTAGTGACTTCATTTGTGATGTAAAATCAAGGGATTTTTTTTCTTTCAAAGTTTTACATCAGATAACAACAAATTTAACATTTTCTTTAATCTGTCTTACCCCTGACTCCCACCTACCACCTCAAAAACCTTCCACTACCCACCCCACCTCACCCCGTCTCTTTGTAAACCTCAGTACGTGACGGTATTCTGCCGTTATCCCGTCTCCCTGGCTCACCGCGGTGGCTGCTGCTGCTGAGCTGTTTGTTTAGGAATCTGGGCCCGAAAATTGTATTCCATCGACCATGCTCGCTATCAACACACAATTATCTGGGTTAATCATGTGGAACTGTGGCAAATTCACCTGGGGCTCAGGAACTAATGACATTCGCGTCTGGCCCTGCTTTAGTGAAATGGCCCCAGCACCTGCAGCAGGAACACGGAGATTGCCAAAGAAAATTTGGTCTCATTTCGTCGTCCTCTACGCCGCCCCCCGCTCCCACCGATCCAAACCCACCCCCCCTCTCACCTTTTCTGCCTCCCTTCCCCCTTTCCAATCTCTCTGCCTCTCTCCCCATTTCTTCTGCCTTGAATTTGTTAATCCTTCAGGTTTCCTCCTCTGCACCTCTTTATTTTTGTTTCTCCTGCACCTTCTTCTCCGGTCAAGAGAGGGACAAACAGAATCCCCAAGTCCCGCGCAACCAATCGCGATGGCGAGGCAAACGTCAGTCTTCACGCCTCTTGTGTAATCACTATACTTTTCCGGCTTCGCTACCTGCATAACACCTGAATAGTAGATGGTGGAAAGTGAGGAGGTGATACAGAAGATGATATGCCGTGATTTTGGTTCCGGACAGACAGCGACTTGCGTTCGCGCTGTATAATTAAGAAAGTGATTGAGTGCAGTCAGCAGGGTGTTGATGCTCTTTCTCCATCACACTTTCTCCCCCTCGCTCTCTTTGTCTTTCTATCACACACACTCAATCATACACACCACGGAGTCATTTCCACCAACTTAGAGGAAGTAGAGGAACTCAATGTTCGTAATTATACATCAATACAAACATATGTTTCCCAATCACAGATGCCATCCATGTGTGAAATGGGTGTCACACTGTTGGAGGTCTCATTATTTGTGAAGTGTGCGCCTCAATACTTTGGATACCACCCACACTGGTCACAGTGACTGTTATATACCTCCTCCGATCATCTCAAACAGGGCTTTTGCATGCCGAGCATACTGTACGTCAAATTGTGTTTCCAGAAATCCTTATTTGATACGAGGTACGAAACAAATCCTTCCTCTCTCGGGGAAAGCTGTGGTCAGTATAGTTCCACCCTAGATGAGGTGTTAGCTGGGTTTTATTTGCACCTTATGCACTCTTCAGTTGTTTTTTGGCAAGAAATAAATGACTACTGTTGTGTTGCACAGAGCTCGCGTCACTGCCCATTGCAGTCATGTTTTAAGGCCTGACTCAAAAATGCAATCCCTTCGGTTTTAACGAGGTTCCAGATTCAACCGTTAGTGGCATTCATTCATTAAAATCCCAGAGGTTATGGGCAAAACTACAATTACTGTGTCTAAAAGTGAGGTCCCTGCCATTTCTTTATATACTAAGCATGTCTTTAATACAACTCATTTACACACAGGAAGCCTTGAGTATTGTCCACGGCAAGGTATAATATAGTCACGGCCCCACTCGAGGTGCCATTAAATGCTTCAGGTGTTATACAAACAAATTACCACACAGGTCATGAATAATGGAGTTCTGGTGTGAAAGCTGTTGAAAGATCTGATCTCAGTTGGTGTTTGGCCTTCACCTGAAAACTTGGTACCGTTCCCATTGGAGTGAAGAGTCAAACACTTTGTTTGAGAAATCTTAAGCTGCAGTCAAACCAACCAAGAGCTTAGCTTTCAAACATGTGAAACATAGCCTGAGACTTCTCTGTATCACAGTCAACCCTGTCCCAGCTTCTGTCTGCACCATCTCTGCTGAAGAGTGTGATAAGTTCCTAAGATCATTTATTGAAAAGCTAGAAAACATGAAGCAGCTTCCAGGGGCCCTTAGCTAGGCCTCCTTTCCTACTTACCTCTATCCCTAAGGACACTTCAGGGCCAAGCGCAGCAGTGGGTGACCAAGAGGAAAGGGACGAGGAAGAAAATGAGGAGGGACTCAGCCATCTACAAGAGGTGGGCAAAGGGATGAGCTGGTAGACCTCATCAGAGATGACATGAGACAGCAAAGGGAAGCTGAGGGCAGCGCAGGAGAGCAGTGAAAGGATTACAGTTTTTCTTAACGCGTATGAATGAGTGACCTCTTCCAGGAACTGTTTGTTTAAACTTCCATAGTTTAAAGAAACAGGAATTCTCTGGCAGTGTTGCTGGATCTGATGGAATGGAGTACAATAGAATAGCCTTTTATTGTCATTGCATATGTACAACAAAAGTGTGGACAACGAAAATGTGGAAGTTACTGAAGCAAGATATGTCTTCTGTTTGGTGAGTGGAGCTTCACACAGGGTGGTCTGCAGAGAGTGCTTTGGGATGCTGCTTCCCACTGTCTGCTGAATCGACCATTAACAGGGTTATTTAGAAATATGCAAACATTGAAGGTACAAAATGTTACTGCTATAGTTTAGTACTTGTAACAGTTTAAATCAAAGCATTATTCAGATTCTTACGCTTAAGTTAAACATATTAATAAGTGTAAATTAGCTTTTTTCATCAACTCAAAAATGAGAGCCTGTTATCAGCTTTGTGACATTTTTCCAGCCACTCTACGCACACAGACAAGCTAAAAGGTCAAATATATTAAAAAATTAGAAAATGTTCTACTGTATTTTAAATCTGAAAGATATTTAGTTTACATAGCTATTAAGTAAATGGGTACATTTGATCTCTGGTCATTGAGTTGCTGAAATTACCTGTAAAACTAGTTAAACTTAACATGTAATATCTAAAAGCTTGTAGATGAAATTAAATTATTTTACTGGGACATGGTTATCTCTCAGCCTGAGATGCAAATCACGTCGGTGACGAAGGTACAGAAGCTCTGGTTGCATTTTTACACCTTACAGCTGTGTGTTTCAGGCTGTCACTGTTGCTAGTTGATTGAAGATACGCTGAGGTAAGGCCAGGAATGGCTGGTTACGCAAATCTGTTCAATTTCACAACCGCTCACGTCTGGCCTTTGTGGTTTTCGAAGACACGGGTAGGTCAGGTCTTTCAAAGGATGTAGCTCCTGAATTTGGACACTGCAGTGGAGAGGGCTCAGTTATGCAACGTGCAGGGTGTCTTGAAGGGTCTGTGCATGAGTATCTAGGTAATAGTTAGCTAACCATTTGACCTTGATCTCACTGTTAGCGCCCAAGGTCAAAGTAAACCATTTAGGTCACAAACAGAACTTTACAACAAACTTTTTTATTTTTTCAATACGACACCTTACATCACAATAATGGATTGGATTTATATAGCGCTTTTCAAGGCACCCAAAGCACTTTACAATGCCACTATTCATTCACTCTCACACACTGGTGGAGGCAAGCTACGGTTGTAGCCACAGCTGCCCTGGGGCAGACGGACAGAAGCGAGCCTGCCATATCGCACCATCGGCCCCTCTGGCCAACACCAGTAGGCGGTAGGGGAAGCACAACGACCAGGGCAGAGAGCCCGGGGATCGAACCGGCGACCTTCCAGTTACAGATACGCTTCCCAACCCCCTGAGCCGCAGTCACCCCACAATGAGAGCAAAGCAGGCCATCGTCACCATATTGTAATAAAAACACAATAAAACATCAAAGTTTTAGTGTCGCCTGTCCTTTGGGGGGAGTTGGGCTCTCTATACACTCTTGTTTATAGAACTTGTGTCACTTTAAAGTTATTCTGGTGAGTTTTTCTCTCTTCAACAGAAAGGCACTAACAATTTTTTCCACGTCTGTACATGATTCACAAACAGCATTTCCTGGACTCATTGTTTTCCCCAGTTTTATAAAATCGCTGTCTGCACTTGTGCACAGATGTGTCTGCACACAGAAATATATTCAGGGATTGTGCGGCTAATTGAAAAATGTTCACCAAAAATAATCAAATTTAAAGCTTAAGTCTGCATTCGAGCCCACATAAGCGGCAACAAGAGGAAACACACACACACGCTCAGAAACTCAGGGAGCTCGTCTTGTTGCTCTGGAGTCCGTGACACGGTTTAACCGTCTCACAGGATCCATAAAACGCCCCCGAAGGCTTCATATAATCTCCCCTTTTTTCCTGCTTAATAGGAGATAATACAAGTGCGCACCCCGATGAATCAATATGCAACAGCAGCTTTAGTTTGTTAATTAATACCAGTGTCGGAAATAGATTTGTGATTTGGCAGGGCAGGTCTGATATGACTCTGGTCTCCCCTCTCTCCCTCACCCTGTTCTACTCTGCATCCACATCCCATTGAACTAATCTCATTCTTTTTTTTCTTCATTTTTTTCAATAGCGCTAATTCTTTGACTAAAGCCTGTTATCTCATTAAAGGCCCCGCGATGGGATTCGATGGCATCCTGACATCTGTATTCATTCCCCTCGAAATTAGTCCTGACACAAATTTAATGAAAAAACACTCCGAACAGTGGAGATTAGACGGCATGCCAAGCATCACAGAATAGATTGGGGAGAAAAAAAATCATCTGCTTAGTTTTGGTGACATTTTTGGAAGGATGGATTAGCGCTGGTCTTAAATAAGAGACTGTTTTTTGACTTAGGGCTGCTGGGTCTACCTGTTAATGGCTCGTTTTGTGCTTTTTACACCTAATCTATAAGTCGGATTGAGACTTGGAGGGGTGTGGTGATGTTCCTGATGGTCTTCAGAGGTAACTTGAGCTTTCTATAGTAAGAAA